CGTCATCGTGGGACCAAGGACATGATTTTTTCCGCCCGTCAACTGCAGATGAAGTGTCAGGAGATGGGGAACCACCTGTACTCTACCTTTGTGGATCTCACGAACGCCCTAGACACGGTGAATCACGAAGGACTATGCAAAATCATACAGAAATTCGGCTGTCCCGAAAGGTTTGCCCAGATGGTGCATCACCTCCACGATGGCATGATGGCGCGAGTCGCAGACAATGGAGCGGTCTCAGAGGCATTCACAGTGATCAACGGAGTGAAGCAGGGCTGCGTCATCTCGCCTACCCTCTTTAGTCTCATACTTTCTGTCATGCTGATGGACGCCTGCCGTGACGAACATTCTGGGAACCGCATCGCCTACAGGACGGACGGCCAACTCCTAAACCACCGGCAGATACACTGCCAGTCGTGTGTATCCACAACTATCGTCCATGGCCTTTACTTCGCCGACGACAGCGCTCTCAACGCCACCTCCAAAGAGAATATACAAAGGGGCATGGACCCTTTCGCCGGCGCCTGTGACAACTTCGGCTTCATTGTCAACACGGAGAAAACGGCGGTTATGCATCAACTGCCACCCACGTTACTTACATCGCACTCCAAATCAAAGTGAACGGAGCCCAATTGCAAGTCGTGGACAACTTTACCTACCTGGGCAGAGCTCTCCACTGTAACACCCATGTCGACGATGAAGTGGCTGGTCGGATCTCCAAATTCAGCTTATCCTTCGACCATCTACAAAGCACGGTCTGGAGTCGCCACGCTCTCTACCTCGACAAAAAACTGAAGATGTACAAGGCGGTCATCCCGCTGACATTGCTGTTTGAAGCGGAGAGCCGGACGGTGCATAAGAAGCAGGCGCGGAGACTCAATCATTTCCAACTCGCTGTCTCCGACGGATATGGAAACTGAGGTTGCAGGACCGGATACCCGACACGGATCTACTGGAAAGGACGGGAATCCTCAGCATCTACGCCATACTGAGACAGCTGCAACTGCGTTGGAGCGGCCACCTCGTGCGGATGGACGAAGGGCAGCTACCCAAAAGACTCCCCTACGGATATGTCATCAGGGGTTCCCGCCGAGAAGGACACCAAATCCGTCGCTACAAAGACACACTGAAGACCTCCCTGAAGCGTCTGCGGATCAACACGATCAACTGGGAAGACCTCGCTCGAGACCGACCGTCTTGAAGGCGGACAGAGAAGACAGGCACAGCAATCTACGAAGCCAACCGCATTGTCGACGTCAAAGCCGAACGTGGGGCTCGCAAATCCCAAATGCGCCCACTTCGCACGCCAACGCTTAACCACCCCCAACCTGCCCATGCTGCCAGTGGACGTTCCGGGCCGCAGTCGGTCTTGTTGGACATCTTCGTACCAACTGCAACATCCGGAATATGTCAGCTGCTGTCACCTTGTCCGGCTCTGTCTTATCGTCCACATCGGCAACTAACATTGACTGCACTCCCGAATCCCCACTACCATCCTCATCCTCCTTCATTGCCTCAACATCCGCTACGGCGGTTTCTGTGCCCACCACCACCGCACACAATCCTGACACACCGACAAGCGTCAACCTCCCCACCGTTAACGCCAGCAATGTGGACTCGATCCATACCCGTCCTCATTGCGATCGCACTTTCACCACACATATCGACCTAGTCGATAACCTGCGAATTCATCGCAGAGAGACTGGCGGACCAGAACCTGGAGCACCCGCATACACTCGCTGCACCCGCCACAACTGCCCTCAATGCACCCACGCATTCACCCACCGCATAGGCCTATAGCCAAATGCTCATTCACGAAGACCTGGGGTGGACAGCCGCCAGTTAAACCACATCATCACATCTTCCTCCAAGAACGCCTGCATTACACAACATCATCATCTATCACAAGCATCCAATTGCTACCTCTCACGCAAGCGGGAAGTGTGAGTCTCCGCTCCGTCTCCGTGCGGCTCCTCTGCTGCATACGCGCTCCGGGTCCGCGACTATCACGGTGCGTCATGCTCTGTGGTTTAAAAGGCTGCTGACTGACCGCTGCAACTCAGTCCACGCAGTCTGTGTTTGTGTGGAGTGGAGGACTGGTGGGCTGTGAGCCTGGCTGAAACGGATCTTTCTTAACGTGACCTATGGCACTCTTACGCATGTCAGATGTACGCCTCCGAGCCTCCGTCGTCTGAAATCCTGATGCGTGTGTTTTTTGGGGGCCAGGTCGTGCATGTGGTGCGCGCAGACAAGGTCACTGGATATGTCAGCCACCGCGCCCACTTCCCGCACCCGTCAAATAACCGACTCGGACAGTAACTAAGGCTCGGGAATGGAGAGAAAGAGTGAGGTCGACGACTCAGAGCATTCTCTTCACTATAAACAATATGACGCGATTGAAGCTATCACGGTGTACTAAAAGCCATGATTTAGAAGGTTGCCAGCTGACGGGATAACTTGGACCTCACAGTCGGCCCAATGTTGTGTGGTTGTGTGCAGGGGCCGGCTGGTGGTCTGAGACTGCAATGACTCCTTTTTAATATGATCTTTATGGCACTCCCACTCTGTGGGATCCGAGTCAGGTGTGACGACACGGCTAGGTGCGGCTTCGGCAGTGCTAGCTACCCTTTTGTTGTTGGTTAAAATCCTGGTCATTTGCTGTGTGGAACAGGGGATGTGGAGTGGAGCGCCAAGATGCGGGCTCGACGGTCCCATTCACCTGCGCCCTTCCCTTGACACGGGGTCCAAATGGGAGAGGAAAAGAGAGTGCGGTGGATGCTACACAAGTCCACATTCGCTATAAACTAAATCACGCGCAAGTTACCGTGTCTGTTTTACCTTTCTGTGGAGCACACGGTGGACATCGTCGGCAACGACGGTCGAACCACGCGCTGAAGTCCCTTGTTCCTGTATTTGTGGATTAAAATTGTTATTGACCAAGGTGTGCTGCGGTACGCCAACCCAGAACGTGCAATAGGTTCCAAGTTAACGATCTAATGCAAGAAAAACGGAATCGTCTGTCCTTCTCTTTGACGAAATCACAACTACCTCTTATCCAATCCGCACTCTAAAAATCTATGGAGTCTCTGATACTCTGAGACCAAGAGCGAGAACAATTGGATCCGGGTATATGGGGGTTAAATAGACTGCCGTTTATGAGTCCGATGAGTGTAATTATGGACGCTTTGTAAAAACCATGACTGATATACTCTTACATTTTTTTCCTTTTTCAGAGCGAACGTAGCGTATTGACAAAAAAGTGTCATTAACTGATAACCACTGAACAAAGAACAAAAATCAAAGCAACATATCGGACACCCGAAGCCTGAACCTCTTGTAAATCCCTCAGATAACTATCGACATAGTGGCTTCCCTTGTTGGAAACAGGAAGTTACACACATCCGGCGGAAAGGTGGGAGAGGGCAGATAAAATTAGATCGCTGCGAGCCATTATGTTCGGTGGCCTACACATTTTCGACGAACAATGTATAAAGCAAAGGCAGGTATGTTACCTCTTTGCATCAGTCGAAAACTGATCTTAGTTGAGTTCAGATATTAAAAGCAAAATTTAACGTAGAAGGTGAAAGAACTATCACAAGAGTCCCTAGATTCAGCGCTGGGATTCGGCTGGATAGCAAGTGATGACGAAAACAGAAAACGCAGAATTTGAATAGTAAATGCATAAATTAAGGTAAAGTTCATGTCCTAAATTAAGGACTGTGAAAATGTCTTGTGGCCACTGGCTAAGAGAGGACCCTGTAAGGGCGCTCGGGACTTCAATGCCCTTTTTGACCACAGGCGCAGCCTTAACTGGACGAGCGCCCGCACGTTGCCAAGGCGTCCTACTGCAGTAATTTTGTCCACTGGAATGATCATTTCCAGTTAACATGCCATCATCAGTCAGCGGAAACGTTAATCCGAGTGAATCTGCAGTGGTTTTAACAAGAGGCCACTGTGGTGGAATTGATGTACAGCTGTACAGCCTCTGTATCGCAGTAGATAGTCAAACTGGTGAAACGTGGCAGCCCAAATTCTCAGTGAGGTATGTCGATGATACCCTCGTATCCGCCAACGGGATCAGTTGTTGACAAGCAAACAGGAAATGTACGATGGAGAAGAACTAGCAGTGCTTACTTGAGGCCCTCGCCAATCGTTAAGATTATAGTAGCCCTAAACTAAAGCCGAAAAAAGCGAAAAACAAAACACAAGTACTCAGCTTCAAAAGCACCGACCAAATCAGCCTCAAACGCATTTACAAAACGGGCGCCTTCAGATGTAGTGCACTGAACCGAAAGACATGATCGTTGTACTGTGATAGCCTACACAGGCGATCAAAAATAAAGGTCCCTTACGCATCTCCGTGAACCGGTGCATGCAAAGACGCCGCAAGAGCTCAAACTGCTTCAACCTCAGATTTACGTCAGGTTTTTGTACATTTAAAATGTCTTGGAAGCCGTTGGCCGCCTTCCCACACCATTCGGAATTGATGTTCCACACAGACTAGAGGTAATCAGCAGACGCCAAGGCCCGCTGGCATGACGAGAGATTTCTGGAAGTCATTTACCGGATCTGCAGAAAGTGACGGACGGAATGACCGCGTCGGTTAGCTCGTGGTCGCACGGGTACCGGCAGTGAGGAGGGAAGACGGCAACTTTCAAATAATGGCTAGCACGACTGGGCCCTGAAACATCTTCGGCACGAATGAAGTCCTCGCAAGCGATGACAACCGCGTGAGTCGCAACCTGCTTGAGTGATGACTCATTAACAAGCGCAATGACCTTCCCTGCCCACAGTAAACAGTCGGAATTTGTCTGCACGGAATACCTTGTCGTGAGGGCAGGTGTGGGTGAACACTTCCAGCAGTGGCACTATTGACGTGCCAAGTTTCCGAGTGAGCATCACGTCACTCACCTCGGGTGTGAGCGAGTCAGCCGAGTCTTATCGAATGAGACACGTAATATGTGTATTTGTTGTCTAATTACGTGGGATCTGCATCACCACCCGCCCTGTGCCACCACTAGGCTCAACTCCCGCTGCTCCTGACGATGGACTCGTCCGTGACCCCCAAGGACAGGCATATAAGATTCATTTCATATAAGCCTAGGAAGGTACTTGTACGTGGTACGGGTGTGCTCGTGCCTGAACTTGTCGGCCTCGATGGTGTTGCGTATTAGACCTCTTCGGGAGTGATGATCTGCAGCAGCGCATCAAGAGGGCGTGATCAACTTTCTTCTCCAGAAACTGAGTTTAAAAACCATCCATATGCCTCGACGGTCTGTGCTGAACCAAGTTTTGAGTTGACCTCCTCTTTGACGCTTCCAGGCGGACAGCGACACCAGAGCAGGGGTATCAGCATCGAGTTCATGGGAAGAGCGAAGAAAAACGTGTCCAGACCACTTCGGTCGTCTTTCATGTGTGACTTGCGCTATCCATGCTATGCTGTCGCCTTAAATGCAAACTCTGTTATTCGAGAGGAATCGAGTGTGCCCCACTAGGTGGATGATTTTCGGGCAACAAGGATGAAGCTCTTCCAGTGTTCGCTCCTTTACTACGCGTAAGTCTCGAAATTCACTAAGGTACAAGGGAACCGACTGGACGACTACCTGATATACACAGATCTT